ACCCAGACGTGTATGCTATAAACGAATTACTTTTTGCTGATGATCAAAGCATACTGTATCAAAATGAATATGATCTACAGGAACATCTGACTACTCTCAACAACAGCTGTTTACAACATAATATGAGAATCAGTACAGAAAAAACAGAAGTTATGAAGATCAGCAGAACACACAGGCCACTGAATATAAATGTTGGAAGTGCCAAAATCAAGCAAACCAAAGAGTTCAAATACTTGGGCAGTATATTTACAGAGGATGGAAGAATGGACAGAGAGATAGAAACAAGAATACAGAAAGCAAATGCTTTCACATACCAACTATCACCTCTGCTTAAACTCCAGATATAACCATGAAGACCAAAAGACAATTGATAAACACCATCTTCATTCCAACACTCTGCTACCAGTGCCAGACATGGACAATCAACAAGACCCATGAAAGAAAAATAGAAGCCTGTGAAATGAAATGTCTAAGAAAAGCAGCGAATAAGACCAGACTAGACAGGATAAAGAACATAGACATTAGAAACACTGTCAAAACTACACCATGTTTAGACTACATAGAACATCAAAGAATGAAATGGTTTGGACATCTAACCAGGATGAAAAATGACCAAATAACATCACAAATTTTCAACCAATGAAGCTCAGGATATAAGGCGAGAGGAAGACCAAGGAAACTGTGGATTGACGGGGTCTCCGAAACCTGCCAAAAGCATGGCCTCAGAACATCAGATGCTGCCCGCCTTGCTTATGACAGGAACTTGCATCTCCCCACAACGCTTAGCTGCATACGTGGAAGGAAAAAGTAAAAAGTAAAGTAAAAGTAAGAACCTTCCGCAGTACCGATAAGGAATCGACAGTATCGTTCTTCTAGTAACTATGTTCCTGTGTTATGCTGATGACACCATCTTGATAGCAACAAGTCAGAAAGAACTATAGGATACGGTAATAGATACGGTGGTGGTAGAAAGTAATAAAATGGGTCTCAGTTAGAATAATGGGAAGACAGAAGTAATGGTGATTTCCAAGAAAAGAATAGTGCCTTAAATGTATAAAAACAGTCAATAGCGTAATTTTCAACAATTACAGGAATTTAAGTAGCTGGGTACCTGTAAAATATCAGATGGAAGATGTATCACATAGATAAAGAACAGAATAGGGCCCGCTAAAACTGCCTTTTATAAAATGAAGAACATTTTGTGCAATAAATCCAAGTCATTGGAGGTGAGAAAGGGAATTCTCGCAAGTCATACAGAGCAGGGTTTGAAATACTCCATGAACCTGGACAATTAATAAAGAAGCCCAACAATATCTTGAGGCCGCGGAGACGTGGTTTTTATAGAAGAATCCTTATAATTCATTGGACAGCTAAGAAGAGTGACCCAGATGTTTTGAAAGAGGCAGGTGCTCGAAGACAACTTATCACAAACATAAGAAGGAGACAATCATCACTTGCTTGTCATGTTATGAGAAGAGGGCAAATGGACCATGTTGTAACCACTGGAAAGATTTGTGGAAAGAGAGACAGAGGAAGACAGCGCAAGAAGATTCTTGACAACCTTTTATCACGGCATGGAGGGATGTCAACACACGAACTGATACACGCAGTTGCGGATTGCAGATTGTGTAGAGACATGATCGCCCAGCCCGGTCGACAAGGCACTTGATGATGATGAACTATTTTTTTGTATTAACTTCAGAACTGCAGTCTTCTTCTTCTTCTTCCTTCTGTCAGAAAACTTATATCAGGAGGTAGCCTTCATAAAGCTATCGTGCAATCCATATCCTCTCGTGTACCATACAGTTTTGTCTTCAGTGTGGTTGGAACAGGCCAGATTGCGTCTCTGTTGTCAGCATACAGTTGACAGTGTTGGAGCACATGCTCAGCATTTTCCGCAAAATGATAATTGGTTTGGTCTGGTTTATACAACAGATCAACATCATGGCACAAGGGTTGTCTCCCATAAGTTCTAACTCAAGCCTGAGTCCAAAGAATCAGCGTAGTGCACGAACTCCGTTGAACCGGCGAGGCTCCTGAAATGAAATTAGTTGCGTATCCTTTACAGGACGTTGCAGAACCAACCCCAACAGCCCCTGGCTGTTGTGTGGTTTCTCTAGGCAAGTTACATCCAGTAGTTTGCCATAGCTTACTGGACGGTCGGCTTTCTTGATACCACTGTCGAAACCAACGCAAGGCGCATTGCCCGCAGCTGGGATCGAACCTGGCATCCCGGCATTACGAAGCGAAGCGTTCGCATCGACTTAGCCACAGAGCCGACTTTGGGCATATTTTTAACTCCAGATCTTTCACGGGCAGCGCTTTTTTGCTACTCTTTTCACTTTCCAACCGTTAAGGGAATTTTTTTTTTACGTGCCCAACAATACACAAGGGCATCCGATCTTACTACCAAGAGACCTGGGGAAATTACTAGAAGTCCACGAGAAAAAAAATCCAGCTTTTACCGGGGCCTGAACTTAGGACCTCCCGCACTCTAGGCTGGCACCTACTTTGTCCGTGCCAGTGTTTTCCTGTGGTGACCAATAAAGGCAATAAATACAACTGAACGATCGTGGTGCCCGAAATAGGAAAGTCATTTTTTTTTCCCAGAATGTTTGTTCAAATAGTCTGCGATGTGTGCTCTCCAACTACACTGAACACACCTACAGCAAAACCTTATGAAACCACTTAACCCCTCTTCACAACTAAATAACACACGAGGCGGGTCATGGAGTTTGTGACCTACTTTGTGAACAATAGAATAAACTGGTATCTAGGGGAGAATGGCACAGAGTGTGTGTACCCAGTATACGCAAATAATCACACGTTTTACAAAACTAAATATATGAATTACGTTAACAATTCTAAAGTTATGAGTGCCGGATTTTACAAAGGCGGCTTATTAATTGTAGTGTTTTCAACTGATTAAGACGATAAAATACAGAAAACTGAAATATTTTGGTCACTTGAAAGGTCACGAAATTCTAGAGAGAACAAAAATGGAGGGGTGTATGCTGGAAAGAAAGGAAGAGGAAGGCTAAAGAGAAGATGGGTGCAGGATGTGGCGAATGATCTCCAGATGGGTGTATCGGACGCGGTACATCTTGCTTGTGATCGAGAAGTTTTCTGGAGGGTTGTTATGGGAGCAAGGTTCTGCAAAGGACATGCAACTGACTGACTGACTGACTTTCAATTGCTGATAAATAATAACTAATAAGGGATACTGAATACTACTTGCTGCGCTGCTGCTGCTGCTGCTGCTGCTGCTGCTGCTGCTGCTGCTACTACTACTACTACTACTACTACTACAGCTACTGCTGCTACTACTACAGCTACTGCTGCTACTACTACATCTACTACTACTACTACTACTACTACTACTACTACTACTACTACTACTGCTGCTGCTGCTATTACTATTACTACCACTGCAGCTACTACTACAGCTACTGCTGCTACTACTACATCTACTGCTGCTGCTGCTACTACAGCTACTGCTGCTACTACTACAGCTACTGCTGCTACTACTACATCTACTGCTGCTGCTGCTACTACAGCTACTGCTGCTACTACTACATCTACTGCTGCTGTTGCTGCTGTTACTACTACTACTACTACTACTACTACTACTACTACTACTACTACTACTACTACTACTACTACTGCTGCTGCTGCTACTACTACTACTGCTACTACTACTACTACTACTACGACTAATACTGCTATCAGTACTACTCCATCTGCTGCTATTTCTATTGCTACTACTGCTGCTGCAACCACTACTACTGCTGCTATTACTGCTACTATTACTACTACTGATATTATTACTGCTGCTATTTCTACTGCTGATACGACTAATATTATTGTTGATGCTACTACTACTACTACGACTACTACTACTACTACTACTACTACTACTACTACTACTACTACTACTACTACTGCTGCTTCTATCTACTATAACTTCTGATATTGCTACTGCTACTACTGATGTTGTTACAACCATTACTACTACCACCACCACTACCACTACTACTACTGATTTTACTATTACTATTGCTACTACTGATGTTGCTTCTACTACTACTACGCCACCACCACCATTACTGCTGTTCTGATTTGCATTGCTACTGCTACGCAGACTGAATACCACGGAATAAGATGAAAAGCATTGGAAAGCATCGTGACAACTGGAAAGACTAGTGGAAAGAGGGGTAGAAGCACCAAGAGAGATGATGCTGGATGAGCTGAAACGATGACATGGAGGGAATATCATCCAGAGAGCTGCTCTAGGCAACCCGGGATCGTGAATTGTGGAGATGCACGAGCGCCTACTCCAGTTGGCAGGGCAAATGATGATGATGATACTACTACCACTCCACCTCAGTTACTGCCACTATTTATAGACTGAATAATAAAACCGTTCTCCACTGTATTACTATCCCCGTCTAGACTGATGGACATGGGGGCAGGAGGGGGTGGGGTGGTGTGTGCAGCTTGGAGCGGCAAGACATAAACATTTCACTAAGGGGACGGACGTTTCTTTAACCAACACAGAACAGGTGTGATCAGTCGTTTTACACTTGTGGAGCTTTTTAGGAGGAGATCGTAGCACCTATGGATCTGTCTGGAGTGCTGCAAAGATAATCCTTTCTAATTATTAATCATTATGACTAGTATTACCACTGTCTCGCAGCTTAAATTATAACACACTGTATTCCACCTAGATCCTGTCCTGTTTAATAATTTGCTACGAACTTCCAACTAACACTACTATTTTATATTCTACCACAGTAACAAATAACATACCACAGTGACAGTAACGTACCATAGTGGCAAGTTACTGGTTATAATTACAATTAAACATTAATAATGGCGCTCTAATGGTTCTAAGGTCAGGACAGATTGCCTGCTGCTAATGAGATAGTAATTTACCAAGAAAAAAATTGTGTTTATATATACTCTAAACGATTAAGACAGGGTCACACTTTCTAACTTACTGTCAATTCTGGGTTACTCGTATCCCGTGTTGAAACAGCCCGTACAAATCCCTGGCGCCATTCCCATTCTGAAATTTTCTCAACTTTCAATTTCCTCGCAGATTTTACTGATAGGAATCGCTTCCCAACAAGTTCATCTCTGCTTCGAGAAGCCATATCCCAAACACTGATGCCCAATTCAATTAATGAAGAGTATTTCCTGAGCCCAGGGACACAACACAGTTATTTAAAAAAGCGAATACTCCCAATCAAGACGTGGATGAATACTGCACATCTGCTGGGTCAGGAGGTCAAACTGTGATGTGCTTCCACTAAATATAAGATAGTGCTAAACTAAACACCAATTCGCAATCACATTTTAAATGTTTTCTGTCCCAAAAATAATTTAATCATTACATTTAATCTTAAAAAATAGTTTTGTTTGATCAAAAATCATGCTATACGTACATGAAAACAAACAAAGTGTTTCAGGAGACGTAGACGCATTCCTAACTAACTAGCAGACGTATCAATCAATGATCGGGAGTCTAGATGTTTCTACATTCCTTCACATATAAATTTATACGGAAAATACTTTTACATTGTAGATTCAATTTAGTTATGAATATTTATTCCCGAACATATAAAATGAACTAGTTATTGGTAATTATCGTTTCAAAGACAAGACATTCGCAACACACCACGTTCTGTGACCTACATGTGCTTCTGTTTTGGTCACGTGCCCACTGTGACGACAAGAAGATGGCTGCCGTTAGACTTACTGTTTGTGAAATACCATCATAGGTCGTTTGCTTCATCGTTTTCAAACCGTTCTGCGTAGGGTTTGTAGTTGGAACATGCCGCTGTGATGTTCGGAGAAGTTTGTAAATAACTTTAGACGGAGACAACAAAAGGTGCCAGACCCGCTATAAATGGTGTCGGTAATTTTATCCAGACTTGTCATGTAAGTGTGCTTTTTTTGCTTTTGAAGTTTCTTCTCAAGACTTAAGACAAGATAAGATATAGATAGATAACAGACGTAACGCTAACTAGGTGACTTCTCGAAATCGTTGCATGTAATAAATAAGTACAGCACTCTTATAACTACGGTATAGAATTTCAGTAGCCAATTTATGTTACTAACTATATTAGTTATTAGCTGTATAATGTAAACAAGATTATGTGAATGAGAGTTCAGTGTGAATTAATAATTTTTTATGATATATTTAGCTTTTTTTTTTAAAATACCGTATAAGATGTATTCGTACGGTAATGAAACCATGAGTCATTGCCCAGACAGCTGCTTTTGCAATGGTAATCTAAACTGCAGCAGTGATGTTCCTGCTCTGTGTCATGTATGATGTTCTCTTTTTTTTTTTCTACTCAACATTGAGCTACTACCATGTTTCCAGAAGAAAAAAAAAAGACAGTTTTTTTTTTTTAGCTTACAAAAATTCCTTTGGGCTTTTTTTCCCCCTCAGAAACTAAAATCTACATATATTCGTTGCTAAATTCTACATTTATTTAATAAAATATTAATGCAGTATTGCTGTCAGCTTATGGAACACTGTCATAAATGTCAAAATCCTGAATTCTGGTCTGGATGTCATTTCCTGTACATTGGCCCCTGTCTCTTTTGCCCGACAATGAAGCTCTCCTTAAATGATTGACATACCATGAATTACAAACCACATCCTTTCATTATCAAAAGTGACGTCTGTATTCTGATCACTGGGCAACAAGTCTTTCATTTGAACTGACGATCTTTAACTAGGGCTTATGTTTAGGGCTAGGGCTATTATATTAAAGCATCCTGAAAATAGTGTTAGGCTTATTTTAGGGGTAGGTCTTATTTTCGAGCAAACACTTTGTTAATGAATAAAGAAATTCGTTTGTACTACTAACAGTTCAGGATGCTTTAATATAATAGCCCTAAACATAAGCCCTAGTTAAAGATCGTCAGTTCAAATGAGAGACTTGTAGATAACTGTGGGTAAATAATCTATTCTTCCACTTCATCGTCAGTGCACAGCTGCTGATAACTATCTTCTCGCAGTATTGCTTTTCTGTACCACACAGCACACAGCCAGGTGCAGCTACTTAAACAGCAGTGTAGCTCTTGTCACGTATAATATAAGGCCATTAACTAATCTGTTTATTATACATTATTTGTATATTTTAGAATATAATATTTTTGGTGAGGTGGCCAAAGGAATCTTTGGTTCCCCATTAGCCAAGTGGGGATAACCCCTTAGCTGCATTTAATTGTACGCTAACCTGCTGCTAGGAGTAATCTAGTCAGCAAGCAAGTGAGTAGTTTTCTGTGGTGCTGACATTAACATAAGTAGTTTAGCTTCATGTGTGTGAGGGCTATTCAACTGGTGACCTGCTGGTCAAATCTGATCCATGGAGGCCTAGCAGATTGCCTGCAGAGCATCTTCCAGTTGTATTGTATTGATGATCTTCTGGTTAGGTTCACGTTAATCTCCCCAAATAGAGTAGGTAACTTTTCATTCACAAATTTGTTGGGCTGGTCGACTTTCTATGCACACTAAACACTATGCCACCATAGCTTCTGAAACTTGCTTCTTCTTTCTTCTGTTGTAATACTGTTCAAGTCGTGAAGCGTCGCAGAGAGGCGTTAGATGTAGTTTCATGTCTTTTGCTATTTGCATACCTTATTTTAATGTCATATTGCTTTTCTGTGTGTGTCGCTTGAACGTCCTCCACCCACATCTTTCTTGGTCAGCCTCCTGCCTTGTAGCCTACTGGGTTCATTTTACGTTTCTACTCTGTCTGATCTTTTATTCATACTTTCTCAGACTCCTCTACGTTGGAGGGGTGTCACGTTGTCTTGCCTCCAATTACACCAGCGCCGATGTCGCGTGTTCTATACTACACGACGACACAACTTTCAGCGACCCCAGAACATCTAGAATTGGTACTATCCCGAAATCCACTTACCCCTACCCAGAGCCTTGGTCACCGAGAGTCTTTTCGAAAAAAAGCATAACAACCTGACACCCCTCTGACCTAGATCAGACTGAGAAAGTGTGTAGATGGGCTGGGAAACGTGAACAGGACCACCTACTATTCTCTTGCTGCTGGCTAATTTTATTCCATTCTGACCAGATGACGCGCTTGCCGCTGGACATATAGGTATGTTTATTTATGGACATATCGGGATGTGGAATCTGTCACTGGAGGTGTCTCTAGTGGTGGCAGAATTAGGTCACATCCCCAGCAGTGCCAGGCCGTCATCAGCGTGTGGCTATTGATTGATAGAACACGTGCAGAGCCTCACTGCCTCTGACCTGAACGGTTTCTAAATCCGGGACTACTTTCTTAAAGCACATTTTCTAGGTCAGGGATGTCTGCAGAATGTCCCCTAATGCCCGCACTTTTAACTGGCTTCTGGGTCAAGTCATGGAGGGAGAGAGGAAACAATAATTTTGACCTTGTTTGCTCACTCACACACCACTCACACACAACTACACTACCGTCTCACGCGCATACCAGCCGCTTGCTGTCATCTGCATTATTACTAATTTGTTTCAGTTGGACTGGTTCAGTTCTGTTAATGCATGTTTAAAAAAAAAATAATGTGCTTATTTGTCGAGAAAATCCCTTTGTAGCTTGTTTCTTTCTAAAAAATTATATTTGAATAATTGTACATGTCAACACTCGTCCCATGTGCGTTGGCAAGCTTTATCATGAGAGAACCTTCTGACCACTCCATATCTTTGTGCTATAATTTAGTAGATACGTAGGCATATCCGCTCTGTCTATCTTAGGCATATCCTTTCTAAGACATTTCCTCTCTATCTATCTAAGGCATTTCCCCCCCTTTTTTTTCAAGTATCCAGAAACCATGAGTTGTAAACCCTCTGGCTCGGTACTCTGGATATCGCAACCCACGGCCAGCTCCAGATTTATAAATCTGGAGCTGGCCGTGTCGCAACCCTACGGCCTTGATTCCGTGATAGGTACCATAAATCTGGGGGAAATGTGGCTTTTCTGCCTACCCCCGGGCGTGAACCAGGACCACAAGAAGTTCGTCACCCAGTCACCTGGCAGAGGGTTTTTAACCAACTGATCTAGCGAGTCGGGCAAGGCATATCCTATCTAAAGCATATCCTCTTTTTCTTAAAAAAAAAGAGAAGAAGTAAAGGACCCTCTTCCACGCCTTTAGGGCATACAGGGCTAGACCTATATTTTATAGACCAATCGGCACAAGATGGGTGGTGTGGTGAGCATCAGGCCGCAAAAGTAAAGATCCCTTTACACGCCCTTAGGCGCATCGGGCATGTGGGAAGAGCACCCATATTTTTACAGACCAATTGGCACTCGGTGGGTAATGTGGTCAGCTTTACGCCGGCCGTCTTTTCTTTCACAGGACAGCCCATCCTGGTACCCATTTGAGGCTGTGTCGACCTGCGACGTCCCATACCACGATAAAAATCCACGCAGCCCGCAGTGGGTTTCGATCGCGGTAGACAGCACAGAAATACAGAGGACCAGTTGACATATCTGACACAGGAAATTGAGAATGCCTTCCAGGAAAAAAAGAAAGTTCTTGCTGTCTTCTTTGACCTCGCTCGTGCTTTTGATACAGTTTGGAAAGAAGGCCTACAACTAAAACTGCTACAGGCAGGAGTTGTGCACAACATGTACAAGTGGATCAAAGACTTTCTTTTCCAACGCAGAGCCAGATTCAGAATTGATGGACACATCGGCAAACTGGCAAAACTAAGAGAAGGAGTTCCCTAGGGCAGTGCGATAGCACCAACTCTGTTCCTGGTTTACATAAATGACATCACAACAACCTGCCACCAGCACGTTTCTAATACCCTACATGCCGTTGACTTTGCAGTTTGGACAGCCTCCGAATACACTACCACAGCCTCATATTTGTTACAAAAAACTGTGGAAAATGTAAAAGCCTGGACAGAAAAGGGGGGTCTAAAGCTAAATAAATCAAAAAGCACAGCATCACTTTTCTCTCTCTCACCAAAAAAAGAAAAAATCGAAATTTGGATTAAAAACCAGCTCATTCCACAGACTGACACTCCTACCTTTCTGGGCGTTACACTTGATTCGCGACTAACTTGGAAGTCACATGTAGAAGCATTACAGGGAAAAGCATTCAAGAAGCTTGCAGTTATGAAAAAATTAGC